AGGTGTGGCATTATAGACAGGCATTGGCACGTGTGTCATTATAGGTCAGGCATGACAGTTGTGTCATTACAGGACAGTCACGACAGGTGTGTCATTACATGTCAGGCATGTAATGACACATTACATTGCTTTGACACAATGCCGCGTTGCTGAGGTTACACAGGTGAGGGGTGAGGTGCCACAGGTGTGGGGTGAGGTTCCACAGGTGAGGGGGAAGGCACTACAGGTGAGGGGGGAGACACTAGAGGTGAGGCACTGCAGGTGAGGGGGGAGGCATTACAGGTGAGGGGAGAGGCACTACAGATAAGGGGGGAGGAACTACAGTGAGGGGGGAGGCACTACAGGTGAGGGGGGGGAGGCACTACAGGTGAGGGGGAAGGCACTACAGGTGAGGGGGAGAGGCACTACAGATAAGGGGGAGGGGAACTACAGGTGAGGGGACTACAGGTGAGGAGGAGGCACTACAGGTGAGGGGGGAGGCATTACAGGTGAGGGGGAGGGGAGGCATTACAGGTGAGGGGAGAGGCACTACAGGTGAGGGGGGAGGCACTACAGGTGAGGGGGGAGGCACTACAGGTGAGGGACTACAGGTGAGGGAGGAGGCAACTCACCACGTGGATGTTGTGTGTGAGGTGTTGTCCTCGGAGCCACCAGGTGAGGACAGGTGGGGGCCTCACCCCGGAGGCTTCACACCTCATGTCGTAATGGCGACCTCCAGACAGCTTCCCCGTAGGCGCCTGCATCTCCACCCTCAGCTCGGAGTCTGGCGGAAGCGAGCGAGATAAAAATCCCTTGCATACCACATATGTCAGACCTGTCCTGGAGTGTGCAGCTCCAGCATGGAGTCCAAATCTCGTCAAACATATAAGACTAAATTGGAGAAGGTTCCAAGATTTGCCACCAGACTAGTACTCGAACTGAGAGATATGAGCTACGAGGAGAGACTACGGGAATTAAACCTCACGTCGCTGGAAGACAGAAGTGTTAGGGGAGGACATGATCACCACATACAAGATTCTCAAAGGAATTGATAATAACAACTAGGTGAATACAAAGCTGCCACAATAGTCATTAGCGGTGACTCAAGGAAACTCATAACTTAAATAAACTATCAGCTAATGACCAAACTTAAGAATCTCTAACGACTACAGTATAGTATATCAGAATTTATTATATACTGAATGTTAATTATCGTAATTTATTATGAAACAAATGCTAATCAAAGTTATTAGAACAAGCATAGAAAATTGACAACACAATTTTTTATCTAAAAAAATTAAAGCATCAATAAAATCCTCTCATGCTATGGCCATCAATCGCATAGAAAAGAAAGGCCATCAATGCACGAGGACACATCAATACTCTCGATTGATTGATTGACTGATAAAGATTACGCCACCCAAGAAGTGGCACGGGCGTGAATAGCCCGTAATCAATACTCTCGAGTCATGGCTAATACATACATAGTACTCTCACCTATCTCTCTCAGCATGACGGAGGCGCTGAGGGCGGCCAGCACGGGCGTGTTGGCCGCCCTACAGGTGATGTTTTGAGCGATGTGGGCGCGGGTAACCGCCGCTAGCCGCAAGATATTGGTGGCGTAGGCGGTGGCGGCGGGCGTCGCGGCGGGCGCGGCGTAGGGCGTATCGAAGGGCGTGTCGACGGAGGGCCTGGCGCCCGTATGCCGCTCCTCCACCTCGGCGTCCAATAGTGTCGGCCCCGACCACCAAGTCACGTTAGGCAGCGGGTGACCTGAAGCACAGTAACTAGGGGTCAGCAGCTGAAGCACAGTAACTAGGGGTCAGCAGCTGACCTGAAGCACAGTAACTAGGGGTCAGCAGCTGACCTGAAGCACAGTAACTAGGGGTCAGCAGCTGACCTGAAGCACAGTAACTAGGGGTCAGCAGCTGACCTGAAGCACAGTAACTAGGGGTCAGCGGCTGACCTGAAGCACAGTAACTAGGGGTCAGCATCTGACCTGAAGCACAGTAACTAGGGGTCAGCGGCTGAAGCACAGTAACTAGGGGTCAGCAGCTGACCTGAAGCACAGTAACTAGGGGTCAGCAGCTGACCTGAAGCACAGTAACTAGGGGTCAGCGGCTGACCTGAAGCACAGTAACTAGGGGTCAGCATCTGACCTGAAGCACAGTAACTAGGGGTCAGCGGCTGAAGCACAGTAACTAGGGGTCAGCAGCTGACCTGAAGCACAGTAACTAGGGGTCAGCAGCTGACCTGAAGCACAGTAACTAGGGGTCAGCAGCTGACCTGAAGCACAGTAACTAGGGGTCAGCAGCTGACCTGAAGCACAGTAACTAGGGGTCAGCAGCTGACCTGAAACACAGTAACTAGGGGTCAGCAGCTGACTTGAAGCACAGTAACTAGGGGTCAGCAGCTGACTTGAAGCACAGTAACTAGGGGTCAGCGGCTGACCTGAAACACAGTAACTAGGGGTCAGCAGCTGACCTGAAGCACAGTAACTAGGGGTCAGCAGCTGACCTGAAGCACAGTAACTAGGGGTCAGCAGCTGACCTGAAACACAGTAACTAGGGGTCAGCAGCTGACCTGAAGCACAGTAACTAGGGGTCAGCAGCTGACCTGAAGCACAGTAACTAGGGTCAGCAGCTGACCTGAAACACAGTAACTAGGGGTCAGCAGCTGACTTGAAGCACAGTAACTAGGGGTCAGCAGCTGACTTGAAGCACAGTAACTAGGGGTCAGCGGCTGACCTGAAACACAGTAACTAGGGGTCAGCAGCTGACCTGAAGCACAGTAACTAGGGGTCAGCGGCTGACTTGAAACACAGTAACTAGGGGTCAGCAGCTGACTTGAAGCACAGTAACTAGGGGTCAGCAGCTGACCTGAAACACAGTAACTAGGGGTCAGCAGCTGACCTGAAGCACAGTAACTAAGGGTCAGCAGCTGACCTGAAACACAGTAACTAGGGGTCAGCGGCTGAAGCACAGTAACTAGGGGTCAGCAGCTGAAGCACAGTAACTAGGGGTCAGCAGCTGACCTGAAGCACAGTAACTAGGGGTCAGCGGCTGACCTAAAGCACAGTAACTAGGGGTCAGCGGCTGACCTGAAGCACAGTAACTAGGGGTCAGCGGCTGAAGCACAGTAACTAGGGGTCAGCGGCTGAAGCACAGTAACTAGGGGTCAGCAGCTGACCTGAAGCACAGTAACTAGGAGTCAGCAGCTGACCTGAAGCACAGTAACTAGGGGTCAGCATCTGACCTGAAGCACAGTAACTAGGAGTCAGCAGCTGAAGCACAGTAACTAGGGGTCAGCATCTGACCTGAAGCACAGTAACTAGGAGTCAGCAGCTGAAGCACAGTAACTAGGGGTCAGCAGCTGACCTGAAGCACAGTAACTAGGGGTCACCCTATAGACCCACCAGCTCAATATTCCACCTTCTAAACAAAGCAAAAATAAAAAATTCATTAAAAACCCCCCACACAAATGGGGATGATTGACTAAATATGAGTTAAAATATATTTATTTTTTGTGTATGTAAATTAGGGGACATGTAGCGGCGAGCGGCACCTGGAACACGTCAACAGGAAGGAAAGCAATCAGAAGCAGCGGACACGGCAATCAGAGACAGTAAATCAGAGTGAAATCATGTGAATCAGAGACAGTAAATCAGAGTGAAATCATGTGAATCAGAGACAGTAAATCAGAGTGAAATCATGTGAATCAGAGACAGTAAATCAGAGTGAAATCATGTGAATCAGAGACAGTAAATCAGAATGAAATCATGTGAATCAGAGACAGTAAATCAGAGTGAAATCATGTGAATCAGAGACAGTAAATCAGAGTGAAATCATGTGAATCAGAGACAGTAAATCAGAGTGAAATCATGTGAATCAGAGACAGTAAATCAGAGTGAAATCATGTGAATCAGAGACAGTAAATCAGAATGAAATCATGTGAATCAGAGACAGTAAATCAGAGTGAAATCATGTGAATCAGAGACAGTAAATCAGAGTGAAATCATGTGAATCAGAGACAGTAAATCAGAGTGAAATCATGTGAATCAGAGACAGTAAATCAGAGTGAAATCATGTGAATCAGAGACAGTAAATCAGAGTGAAATCATGTGAATCAGAGACAGTAAATCAGAATGAAATCATGTGAATCAGAGACAGTAAATCAGAGTGAAATCATGTGAATCAGAGACATTAAATCAGAGTGAAATCATGTGAATCAGAGACAGTAAATCAGAATGAAGCGCCACGTTTTGGACTATAGTGATAATACTAGGGGGCCCAATCTGTTCCTTGCTGTTCACCTGACTAAAGAAGCAGATAGACTATATATCTGCGTTCGTAGATAATGCAAACTGTTTTTTTTTTATTCAGCTACTCTCAAAATAAAGTTCCAAGTAGCACGGGCTATGGTGATCCCGTGAGGCCATTTACGGGCTATTCATGCCCGTGCCACCTCTTGGGTGGCTTAATTTTCATCAATCAATCAATCAAATTCAAACTGGTACACATAATTAGGGCTGGTAAGTCTAGGCATTCAGAGACTGTTTACCACCTACGCGAGCCCGGCACTGATGTATGCAGCTCCTGGATGGGAACTCGATCCAACTAAAGCAGTAGACGTAACCTGAATCAGTTGAGACATACACCACAAAAGTAGGTTCCAAAACTGCAAGGTCTTGATGGAACAGAAAGACCGAAGAAGCTGTATCTTCTGCACTAGAACCAGTATGGATATGAAGAGATATAACCCCGACATATAAAATCCTCTGATGTAATGGCAATGCACATGAGAACAAAAATGTTTTTCATGCACAGCAGCGGAATGAGAAGACATAGATGAGATCCATAGGATGTAAACCAACCTATAATTAACCTAAGATTAGCGAGAATGAACTATCTGGCAATAGAGGTTAACCTCATACAGAGGTTTACGTGGTTTACGTGTAGAGGATAGTAAACTTGAGACCCCATTGACTTGATGACTGTCATATGAAATGACAAGGGTGACACTCGCTCCTTAAAGCACAATTAGGCGAGAACATTTAGGTAAATACACATGTAAACTCACATAACACCAGAAAGAGCATGTCAGGAGGGAAATGATCACAACGTACAAGATACTGGGAGGGGAGAAAACATACGAGTTGGATAGGTCAAACCATTTATCATCATTTATCCCCTCTGTATATGAACAATTTACCGTAATTGTAAATAGAACGAAGCGGGTGCATTGAAGTTAGAAAAACACACAAGTCAGAAGAATTCAAGAATGTCACCATTTTCACTGTTTACAAACAAGCGAAATAAAATGACAGTGCAGGTAGTGGAAGCCAACTCCAGTCACAACTCCACAAGCAAATAGAAAAAAATAAAATCTGAAATTGGGAGGATTAATCTCACTGAATACCTGATGGATGATTGACAGCGTCCAACAGGTAGATGTTGGACGCATTTCACATATATGTAATTATGGAAGTGGTGGTTAGTTAAGCAAACACATATATAAATCCTTAAGACCAAATACAATAGAACATTAATGGATGATTAGTGTTTCTTGACACATGGAAAACAAATCAGGGCCCAAAAGCTAAACGCCAACCCCCCTCCCCCCAATTGACAAAAAGCAGCAGTTAGATCAAAAACACACACACACACACACAAAATACGTAGCTCAATAGACTCCAGAATCTGTACACCAGTTGATTGACAGTTGAGAGGCGGGACCAAAGAGCCAGAGCTCAGCCTTCGCAAGCAAAATAAGGAGAGTACACACACACACACACACACACACACACACACACACACACACACACACACACACACACACACACACACACACACACACACACACACACAACACACACACACACAGGGACAGGGACCCACTCTCTCCCCACTACACAATCTGCTGGTCTACCAGCAAGGTTATGAGAGAGACTCTTACCTCCTGTGGCTCTACAAGAGAGGGTGAGAGGGTGGCCCTCCTGCACCACCGCCACTCCGTCCACCAGCGCACCCCCGGGACTGTAGATGCGCAGCTGCTGTGGAAGATCTGCGCAAGAAAGTAGCACATATAGAGTAGTCTGGCATATTGAGCAGACCACACACACTAGAAGGTGAAGGGACGACGACGTTTCGGTCCGTCCTGGACCATTCTCAAGTCGATTGTGACCATTCCCAAATCACACACTCAACTTGAGAATGGTCCAGGACGGACCGAAACGTCGTCGTCCCTTCACCTTCTAGTGTGTGGTCTGGTCAACATACTTTAGCCACGTTATTGTGACTCCTCGTCTGCGTATTCTGACATTATCGTGAGACATAAAAACATTGTGGTCAAAATACATTGATGTTAAATAGTAATCGCATCACTTCTTACAGGGTCGAATGTTCGATCCCCGATGGTCCAAGTGATTGGGGGGACACCGTTCCTTCCCTCTGTCCTCATGTGCCAAAGCCTGGGCCTTATATCCAAGTGTTATATCAGGAGTCATACATATAGTCATTCTGTTGTTGTTGTTGTTTAAGATTCGCTACCTGGAGGAAAAAGTCCCAAGTAGCACGGGCTATGGTGAGCCCGTGCACTCTCCTGATATAACATTGTCTTATACCGATTTTAATTTAGGAAAAAAGAGCAGATAATGGCAAAAGAAAAAGCCGTATGTGGATCTATCTTGAGGTTATCTTGAGATGATTTCGGGGCTTTAGTGTCCCCGCGGCCCGGTCCTCGACCAGGCCTCCACCCCCAGGAAGCAGCCCGTGACAGCTGACTAACACCCAGATACTTATTTACTGCTAGGTAACAGGGGCATAGGGTGAAAGAAACTCTGCCCATTGTTTCTCGCCGGCGCCTGGGATCGAACCCGGGACCACAGGATCACAAGTCCAGCGTGCTGTCCGCTCGGCCGACCGGCTCTCGGATAAATGAACTCTGTATAGAAAAGCAGAAGGCTCTCCTCCTTCACTCTGCCTATAACAGTGTGCACAATAACAGTTGTAATATGAGGAGGAAAATCCTAAAGTTTCATAAATTTGCATGATCAAATAAGGAAAAAAAAAAGGTTTAAAAGTTGACATTATTTTGTTGTATTAATTCAGCCCGTCCACAACGGACAGAAAATTGGTGTGCTACAAAGCTGGAACCTAACCTAACCTAACCTAACCTAACCTAACCTATTGGTCCCACGTATAGAAAACGTCAATGTTGTGAATGGTTATGATCTCTAGCACCTCTGGATTTGTCCGCTGGGAAATTTTGACGTAAAAAATATGGGGAACTTTTCGAGAGACCAGGATGTAACCCCCCCTCCTTCCCCCTGTCCCCCCTGTCCCCCCTCATCCCCTCCTTTCCCCCCCAAAAAAAAACCATCACACAGTATCTATTTGTACCACGAGTAGCACAGCTGAAGTATGAAAAACATCTCACATAACAGAAAATATCTTATTCACAACTAGTCCTTAAACAGCTTTCACAAAAGTACCTCTGGCTTTGAAATTTTGAAGACTTTTTTTGTAATAAAATCACAACATGCGGCCATAAAAGAAGGCCATAAATTCACAACATGGGCCATAAATCACAACATGGGCCATAATTCACAACATGGGCCATAAATTCACAACATGGGCCATAAATCACAACATGGGCCATAAATTCACAACATGGGCCATAAATTCACAACATGGGCCATAAATTCACAACATGAGCCATAAATTCACAACATGGGCCATAAATCACAACATGGGCCATAAATTCACAACATGGGCCATAAATTCACAACATGGGCCATAAATTCACAACATGAGCCATAAAAGAAGACAATATCAATAATAACCATGGAATCCGCAGCACAGTGAATGAAGCACAGATAGTATCGAGGATAGTATAGCAAAGATACTCCCCCCCCCCAAAAAAAAAGTATCTAATTACACATAAGTCTTCTTGACCCTCGTTATTTACTCAGCATTCATAGAAGTTTGTGTGAAATTTAAAATACAAATTTATTAAATTTTTTATAATACTCTTGGACTTTTAAAAATGACTAATAGCAACACAGGTGATTGGAGTCACAGCAGAACAACGACGACAGCCACGAGATTAGGTAAGTATAACCGAGGGGATTGTACCGAGGGGATTGTACCGAGGGGATTGTACCGAGGGGATTGTACCGAGGGGATTTCAGGCTCCTGGAACACTGTCCAGGCTCCCGGAACACTGTCCAGGCTCCTGGAACACTGTCCAGGCTCCTGGAACACTGTCCAGGCTCCTGGAACACTGTCCAGGCTCCTGGAACACTGTCCAGGCTCCTGGAACACTGTCCAGGCTCCTGGAACACTTTCCAGGCTCCCGGAACACTGTCCAGGCTCCCGGAACACTGTCCAGGCTCCCGGAACACTTTCCAGGCTCCCGGAACACTGTCCAGGCTCCCGGAACACTGTCCAGGCTCCTGAACTAGTAGTAGGGGTGATAGAAACTACAACAAAGCAAATCAAAACATGGACATGATCACTCCATAGATGATCACACCATTACTCGTAGAACACCGCCACCATCACTCACTCCCAGCTCGCCGCTGACGCCGTAAACACAGAGGAGGAATGATGACTACTTTCAAGTATTTTTCAACAAGGTATTTCCATTTTCTGAATCTATGTTCAGGCAAGAATAACTGAAATGATAGTACAGAAGAGTGCCTAATTACAGGGATTTTCCTCATATTAATCTCACGCTGCTATAGCATTACTCAGGCAATATAGAGGATTAATCTCCTATGTTCGTGACTAATTCCAAGATTAGCCTCACAAACTACAGTTCAGAGGATAGAAAAAAAAAGATTCTGTAATGCAGGATTAGGTTACATAAAAATTCTAAATCCCAACATTATTATATGCAAATATAAAACAAATTCTGCAAAGTTAGTTTACAAATGTTAAACTTGGATGTGATGAGATAGTCTTAAAGACTTGTTTCGCTTAAGCTCTCTTCAGCAGCTTCGGATTTAGAGATTGATTGCTGAAGATTAAGCCACCCAAGAGGTGGCATGGGCATGAATAGCCCGTAAATTCTGAAGTGTTAGTGCAAGATGAGGTGTTAGCCAATAGAAGGGGTATGATATAGATCTCCTGGTGTCCCTTGACTCAATAGAGATCATCTATTCTTAAGATTTTGATTCTTATAATAAGATTCAATCTACATCTCAAGACTCTTGAGATGAAGAGTCCAATAAGCCCATAGCACAGAACTCGAGCATCTCTACAGTGATGTCATTTGATCAAGTGAAGTTTGCCAGACCAATCCCAGGTGGACTTACTGATGCCTGACGTCACAAGTCTCCTCGTATTGGCTATACACAGGTCACGTGACCAGCTGTGATTGGTCGATAGATGTAACACTAAAACTCGACCGAGTTGCCAGCTTGTTTATCCAAACACATACAAACTCAGATAAAAAAAAACTGACATTAACATTTTACTTAAATATATCTATTGTAAGTAAAATGTTCCCTTGACAGTCACTCATGCTAGTTGTGAGGTTCGTACGACACTCACGAAATTTTAAGTCATGTTAAGACGGTCTACTACATCGTAAGACCCGCAAGGTATCATCGAATTAAAAAAAAAATGTGCAAAGAAAATTAAAAAGAGAAAGAAAGAGAAAGAAAAAGAAAAATTGAAAAGAAAAATTCATGAATTGAAAGCGTTTTTTCAAGTCGCAATATAGAGAAAAAATGGACGATTTTGTGCATTTAAAAACAACTTATAGTTAGATGGCACTGGACCAAAATTCGTATATATATATATATATATATATATATATATATATATATATATATATATATATATATATATATATATATATATATATATATATATACATACATATACAGCTACATATACGTGTAAACACAGCCTATACATATGCGTGTCATATATGTATATAACAAAAGGAAAAGAGTGAGAAGACCCCCCCCAAAAAAAAAAAAAAAAAATAAAGGAACATCTTGAAGATGCTTGACTGAGGCCTAGTCGAGGACCGGGCCGCGGGGACGCTAAGCCCCGAAAATCATCGCAAGGGCAATGCGGACGAATGACCAAAATATCATTCACAAACACGAACGACCCTCCCCACACGGAAACGATGAACCACAACAACCTGGCTGAAACTACCACGACCAAACCACACATCAGAGAGAGGGAGACACACTGACGTTTCGGCTCATCCTTGGACCATTATCAAGTCGTATTGTGTGTGTGTGTGTGTGTGTGTGTGTGTGTGTGTGTGTGTGTGTGTGTGTGTGTGTGTGTGTGTGTGTGTGTGTGTGTGTGTGTCCAGGTCCAAATAATGGTCCACGACGGACCGAAACGTCGCGTCGTTTCTCCAAAATGTGATGTGTGGTCTGATCATCACTCTTCCGGATGACACGGAAGTTAGAACCAAGTAAAGAGAGAGAGAAAGAGAGAGAGAGAGAGAGAGAGAGAGAGAGAGAGAGAGAGAGAGAGAGAGAGAGAGAGAGAGAGAGAGAGAGAGAGAGAGAGAGAGAGAGAGAGAGAGAGAGAGAGAGAGAGAGAGAGAGAGAGAGAGAGAGAGAGAGAGAGAGAGAGAGAGAGAGAGAGAGAGAGAGAGAGAGAGAGAGAACACAAAATACTCCTACATGTCCTCCACACATGTCCAGGGGGTGAAAATAACCGAGTTATAAAAACATGTGTCAAACACAGGAGAAGAACACACCGAAAAAACATCTGACTGGAGAGGAAGATACAATAACATCTGACAGGAGAGGAAGATACAATAACATCTGACAGGAGAGGAAGATACAATAACATCTGACAAGAACGGCTGGGAGAACAAGAGCGGTACCATGTGTAGGAGAGAATATCTAGTTATGAGCAGACACAGGCAGCAGAGAGACATGATCACCCCATTGATGATCACACCATTACTCGTAGAACACCGCCACCATCACTCACTCCCAGCTCGCCGCTGACGCCGTAAACACACAAGAGGAATGATGACTACTTTCAAGCATTTTTCAACAAGGTATTTCCATTTTCTGA